GTCAACGCACAGCTGCTAGAATGTCCATTGTCAGAAAGATGAAAGGCGACGAGTGTTCATGAGGATGTGGGGTTTCTAAACAATGTCCATAGAAGCAGGGCAGATTTTGCTCTACATGAACTTAGAAAAACGGTGGAAATCAGTACTACCCTGGGCTAAGAGTTGTTTTCACTGGATGTCATGGCAAGTGTAATTTCTTAGGTTTGTGGGGTTTGTCTTTTAAATTCCCTATGAAGTGGCCCAATGAAAAACTCAATATGATTTTAAAATGAAATCTAAAATAACATTTTACTTTATTTACTAATATGATTTATTTTTATGAATTTTACCTTATAGAACAAATTTTCATTAAATTTGTCCAGAGACACGGGTCATCTGGATTCCACGCCCATTGCGCTGTGTGCACTGTCGTGCATCACGACTCACTGAGCGTGGCTCCCTGGCTCTCTGAACTGTGGAGGCAGGACGGGGAGGAACCAGCACTCCCAGAGCTCCCCCTGAGTGCCAGACGCCCTGCTGGGCACTTCTTCCTACTTTTCTGGTTGAATTCATTGGACACAGCATTCAACCTTGGGATCTCTGTCTCCTACATGGGGGTATGTGGGCCACAGGTCAGCACAGCTTGTGCTTGGTGGGGTATGTGAACCCATGTTCCACCAGGCAGCCTTATTTTGGAGTAGGCCTCCATTGCCCTAAACTCACTTTGGGTTTAGAGAAGCACAGGTTACCTAGGGAATGAGGACACCTCAGTGCTCAAGAGCACACGCTTGAAGAAATGTCTTGAATGTGTCCTTAAAAGAATTGGTGACGACTTCCCTTAACTGTGGGACCAGCGACCTCACGTCAAGACCCAGCTGCTGACTCAGGTCTCCTCCCCTGACCAGAGGCCCAGGCTCAGTGTGGGCTCCTAAAGGCTTATACAAAGATGCAGAAGACACCAGTGAGTGGTTTTCAGAGATTTATTTCAGACTGAGCTTCAGCCTTGTCAAGGAGGACGGTGTCAGAAGGCCAGCGCCTCCCTTTCACCAGTGACATGAGGGAGGCCCGTGTCTCCTGCAGACTTCAACAAGTGTGTCCTTGAGCTTTGCCATCAGTTCTCCTGGTTCTTTTTCACAGATGATCTTTCTTTAATTTCTATATTTTTACCCAGATCAGGGGCTGACTTATTTTATTTAGGTTTGGGATTTGCCACTTTCATAACATTAGCCTCAGGTTTTGTCATATTCTTACCTTCAGGCTCAGAATATGTCTCTTCCTTAACCCTCGTGGTACTTATAGATCGCACGTTTGTGGCCACCCCAATAAGCAGTACAGCTATTAAGACATAAAAACGACCAAAGACCAGTCTCAAATATACCAATGCTTGCTTGCTCTGTGTTACTGAGCGCACTCTTCTCGGAGGGGGTCCGCTGTCTTGACTCCCACCAGCACCTTTATTGAGGCACAGTGGAGGGTCCCAGCCCACATGACAATGACAGTTTTTCTTATTGTTACAAACTCCTCTAAAACTGCATTTCTCAGGGACACAGTCGTAATTCAGCTCAGCCATAGACTCATTGCACTGGTTGTTTTTACATAACTTTCCGGGAGCACAGGGAGTACCTGGTCTCACACGGCCGACATCAAGTACACCTGTGCCACGGTGCTCATCCAAACCAAAGCAGGAGAACCCATGTCTGACAGACTGATGGAATGAAACATGCTCTTGCAACCGCGGAAGATGGGTGATGTTGGTACATTGCAGCCTCCCACATAATTTATTTTCAGTAGTACAACTTACAAACTTTCTTTCAGTTTCTTGTCGGCTACAGTGTCCAAATCGATCAGCCCCAACGTTTATATCATAACAGGTCTCATCAGCATTCTGAGCACCTTCACCAAAGATTTCTTTGCAGTGCATAGAGCGGTCAGTGCAATTTCCTGTGTAGCAGTAACCCTCTTCAGAGCACGGAGTTCCATCTTGCATGTAGAAGTCTTCGGGGCATGTGATGATGGTGCCTAAGCAGTACTCTGGAAGATCACATACAGTTCGGATAGGTCTGCAGAGAGTCCCAACAGGAGAGTAGGTGCAATTCGTGCAGCAAGCTCCTGCATTACACACACTTCCAGGTGTCAGCTGACAATCACTAGTACAACATGGACTTTCATAACAGTGCTTGAAGGAGCCACAGTCACATTGCTCAGTGCCCTCCACTACAAAGTTTCCACAACGAGTCTCTGTTAGGCTTTTATTATAACCCTCCCAAACATTCGCAAATAAACAGTTGCCAAGATTACTTAATACGTTTTGTAAATGAAAATAAGAACAATTACTGAACCTGTCCGTCAGTCCAGGAAATCGACTCATGATGCAGGAGGTCCTTTTCTGGCAGATGCAGGTTCCTCCTTCACTGGCCACATCGTAGTACAGTCCAAGAACTCACGCAATCTGATTGGTTGCTATAACAGATACCAATAAATAATGTCTATCAAAAGCACTAGTATAGACTAGGTTCTTTTCATAGCAAATACCATACAAAAATGGCTGAAAGTCAGCTTCATGTATTCCATTTCTCATAAGTAATATGGATGTATCGGGACGAAAAACATCAAAAAAGGCTGTTCTATAATATTGATGAAATGGACCACCTGGCACTCTAAAGTCATTCAGCACAGCTGGATCACGTTCATTAAATATGTTGATAAACAAAATATAGTACCTTCCATAAATTGATTGAAGATAGCTATCAATGAGACTACCCAAGTTGAGAAGCATCATGGCACAAGCTGTAATATTGTTGTATTCACGATACATTGAATTGGAAGCTTGAATTTGACCTTTCATAGTGGTTAAATGGAAAGAGTAGGTCTTACTAGAAATCCTGGGTGCCCCACTGGCGTTTGCCACAGAGAAGAGGGGGTCTATGACATCCCGGTGTCCTAGTCTATACATTGGACCCATTGCATTGGTGTCGGCCACTATCTGAGAAACAACATGTTCAAACCTGCTGGAATCCTTGAGGGGTTTGATTTCATAGGCGAGGTCATCCAACTTCATGATCCCT